AAAAAAAAATAATAATAATTTTGATGTATTTACTATATATTCTTTCCTGCTACTCTCCCACATAGCAGGTAACTAAAGTTAAAAAAAAATATGCCAGGTATAGTGGCTCACATCTATAATCCTAGCACTTACAGAGGCCAAGGTGGGTCGCCTGAGCTCACGAGTTCAAGACCATCCTGAAGGAGAGCAAGACCCCATCTCTAAAAATAACCACTTTGTGGAGGGCACCTGTAGTCCCACCTAGTTGGGACACTGAGGTAAGAGAATTGTTTCAGCCCAAGAGTTAGAGGTTGCTGTGACCTATGACACCAGGGCACTCTACCAGGGCAACAAAGTAAGACTCTTTGTCTCAAAAAATAAATAAATAAATAAATAAAGTTTAAAAAATAATAGAGTTCACCATATCCCCTTCAAAACTTGTATAACAAACATAAACTTATATATCACACATAAATATGGGGAATAGCTGGCTATTTCGGTCATTATACTTATTTTAAAGCTACCAACTATGACTGAATCACTTCAAGACAAACCAGTATTACTCTGATTCATATTGTTTTAAAATCCCATACATCACACCAAAGTAACAACAGAGTTTATTCAATCACCCCTCAATAGTAAAAAGTGCTCAAATCTTTTCCAGTGAGGGGGGTAAAAATCTACGAAAAATACCTTATACATTCCTATCTAACAAGTTCTATGTAATAAATTCCTAAAAATGGGCTCGGCACCTGTGGCTCAAGTGGCTAAGGCACCAGCCACATACACCGAAGGTGGTAGGTTCGAATCTAGCCCGGGCCTGCCAAAAACAACGATGGCTGCAACCAAAAAACTAGCTGGGCGTTGTGGCAGGCGCCTGTGGTCCCAGCTACTCGGGAGGTTGAGGCAGGAGACTCGCTTGAGCCTAGGAGTTGGAAGTTGCTGTGAGCTGCGATGCCACAGCACTCTACCCAGGGTGACAGCTTGAGTCTGTCTCAAAAAAAAAAAAAAAAAAAAATTTCTAAAAATGGAATAGAATAGCTTGTCATACCTATAATCCCAGTATTCTGGGAGGCTGAGGTGAGTGGATTACTTGAGCAGTGGAGTTCCACACCAGCCTGGGCAAGAGTGAGATCCCTTCTTTAAAAAATAGCCAGGTGTTGGCGCAGTGCAGCGGCTAGGGCACCAGCCACATACCCCGAAGCTGGTGGGTTTGAATCCAGCCCAGGCCAACTACAACCAAAAAATAGCCAGGCGTTGTGGCGGGTGCCTGTAGTCCCAGCTCCTTGGGAGACTGAGGCAAGAGAATTGCTTAAGCCCAAGAGTTTGAGGTTGCTGTGAGCTATGAC